CTTGCTATTAGCAATTCTGCTTCTGTTCATGCTTTGATTTATGGCAGAGTAGCTGCTATCATTTCTTTTACTTTTTCACTTCAATGTAAACTTTAATGTGGTGAGACTGGATATGTGTCCCCACATTGGTCTAGGGCTCAGGAATCAGAACGTTCTTTATAGCTCCCCAGTTTAGTCTAATGTGCAGTCAGCCTTGAGAACCACTGGCCTAGAGTACTTTAAGAAGACTGCTCCTCTGTCTGGCCTCAAGGGGACAATCCTTCCATTAACCTAACTATGAGGACATGCCTACACTACCTGGGGATTAATGAGAGGTTTAAATTTAAGGACAGAAAATGATAGGGCTGAAAATTAGAAACCTGAATAATGTTTAGGTCAGTAAGGACAAAATTTCTTTAAAACCCTTCTGAACCTTAAGAAACTCTGTGACCAACTGTTTCCTTCTCCTACAAGTCCAATTTTTCCAAACTCTATTTTACACCCAATCTCAAGTTGGACATCTCTTCATTCTGAAAACCTCCCATTCCATTATCATGTCTTTGGATAAGATTCCTTTTATAATAGATTCACCCTACGTAACAAACACCTCTCTGAAGAATGATGTAGCCAAAAAAGTTGTTCCCTTTTCTGAAGAAATCACCCTAACTTTTACATGCACCCATTGGTACTCATGTCATCCTTGTCTCTTCTAAAATGACACTTCCAGCAGCTAGGATCTCAAAATCTTCTGAAATATTTCTCAGAAAACAACCGAAGTAAAGTCCACAGAAGTTTTGTGGTTTATATGTGAGGTTATATCAGGGTGCCAATGTAAGAAATGTCCAAATCTTTAGAAAATTTTTATTAATTTATTTGAACCAAACTGATGACAATTGCCATGAAGCAAAAATCTCAACAGATTGAGAAAATGCTCCAGAGAATGGCAGTTTTGCAGCTTATTTTATACATTAAAATCAAAGGAAGAGATGTAAATAAGGTTACATGAAATCCACTGTGGTAGATTAAGGGGGCAGACGAAAGCAAAGTGGGGAAATCTCTGGGATTGGATAAAAAGTAAAACAGAGAGATACATACTATTTTTACATTGGTGGGTACAGGATAGTTAATAATTAACATTCATAGCACATAGAGATGGTACATAAGGAACAAGATAACAATGAGTGGTTCTGTGGTCTTGTGTCTGGTGTGGAGGTTGTGTCTTGAGGGAAAAGGCTACTCTGATGTTTCAAAAGTATGTTGTTATTTTAGATGCAAAAATACAATAGACAGGCTCACTTAAGATAAAGACTGACCTTTGTCAAGAAATTTGCAAGATGTGACTACCCATCATGACTTGTTTTTAATTAGGAATTTTTATGTTCAGATATCCTATGTGGTTACTTTCAGTCTCGGAGTATATAGGACAATCCTATTGACCTCCTCCTGAGCTTGTCAGGTTTAGGCCCTTTTTTCATTTACACTTTCCCTTTTTGGTCAAAAATCAATCTGAAGGATGCATTAATGACCAAACTTTTGGTTGTATAATATGGTTCACAGTGCTAGGAAGGTTCATTCCTAAGAAGTCTTAGTGTAGTCATTTGTCTTACTGAAATGGCAGGCCACTGGGGATGGGCAAGGCCATAACCTTGGGTAGAAGTCAAAACCAAGCTTTTCTCAAAAGGGAAGGGCAGGTAGGTCTTATGGGTCTTCATTAAGAAAAAGAAACACTGGATTACTTCTAACCTGCAAACTATCATGATCCAAGTTTTACTTTGTCTCACTTTTATGTATTTTGCATCTAATATAACAACTACAATAGTTTGAGGGCACAACCATCTGACCATGAAATGGGTTCCTATTTACTGTTGTTGTTGTTATTATTATTAATACTATTTTAATATGGCCATCTACCTCCCATTGGAAGCACTCAAGGGTCATTCATTATTAATTGTACAATTGGGAACTGTAACTTTAAAATTTAATTGAGGCTAATGCTAAAAAAAAGAACGTAATGGTATAAATCATAATTACCATAAAAAAAATGTTCAGAGGCCAGGAGAACAGTAAGAGTTTCATAAGTAAATTTCCTCTGCCTCAGAAGCCATTATAGAGGGCCTTTTGTTTACTTTTATTTATTACTAGAGGCCTGGTGCACAAATTCGTGCACAGGTGGGGTCCCTTGGCCTGGCTGGCGATCGGGGTGATCAGGGCTGATCAGAGCATATCGGGACCGGCTGGCTGGGGAGGGACCGCGGGAGGTTGGCCGTTTGCGGGAGGTTGGCTGTGGGAGTGCACTGACCACCAGGGGGAAGCTCCTGTGTTGAATGCCTGCCCCCTACTGGTCAGTGCATCATCATACTGACCGGTCAACCGGTTGTAATGGTTGCAGACTGGTGCAGCCACTATGGAAGACAGTATGGAGTTTCCTTAAAAAACTGAAAATGGAACTCCCATTTGACCCTGTGATCCCACTTCTAGGAATATATCCCAAGAAACCAGAAACACCAATCAGAAAGGATATATGCACCCCTATGTTCATAGCAGCACAATTCACCATAGCTAAGATCTGGAAACAGCCTAAGTGCCCATCAGTAGATGAATGGATTAGAAAACTGTGGTACATCTACACGATGGAATACTTCACTGCTGTAAAAAGGAAGGAACTCTTATCATTTGCAACAGCATGGATGGAACTGGAGAGCATTATGCTAAGTGAAATAAGCCAGTCAATGATGGAAAAATACCACATGATCTCACTCATTCATGGATAATAGAGACCATTATAAACTTTTGAACAATAATAGATACAGAGGCAGAGCTGCCTCAAACAGATTGTCAAACTGCAGCAGGAAGGCCGGGGAGGGTTGCGGGGCAGGAGGTAGGGGGGTAAGAGATCAACTAAAGGACTTGTATGCATGCATAGAAGCATAACCAGTGGACATAAGACATTGGGGGATAGGGGAGGCTAGGGGACTGTCTAGGGCGGGGGGATAAAATGGACACATATGTAATACCCTTTGTAATACTTTAAGCAATAAAAAAAATAAAAATAAAAAAAAATAAATCTTTATTGTTCAGATTATTACAGTTGTTCCCCTTTTTCCCCCCATAGCTCCCCTCCACCCAATTCTCACCCCACCCTCTGCCCTTAGCGCCCCTCCCCCCCCCCCCCACTGTCCTCATCCATAGGTGTACGCTTTTTGTTGCCAGGTCATACACATGGAAAATGTAGCTATTTCCATCCGCGACCTGTCCCTGTGTTCGGCCACACAGGGACCGTCACAGCCTCATAAGGGCTGTCACAGCCTCACAGGGACTGTCTCAGCCTCACAGGGGCCGGCGCAGCCTCGCAGGGGGCACCGCATCCCACATTGGGGGTGAAGGTGTGAGACAGAAGCTCCTCTCGCTGTCTCTCCTGCTGCTTCCTTGCATATCGCTGATGTTGGAAGTTTCTGAGAGCAGTCTGCATGTGATGGACATTATACTTTAACTGGTCAACATGAAGTTTGGCATTCTGTCTTTTGTTGGGCGACTCCTTGCTGGCTGAATATCTGGTATGCTTGCTTGGATTTCGTTTTCTACTAAGTGCACAGACTACTTGTCTGCCGTCTCCCAGCGTCCCATGTGAGACTCTATCTGGTGGACCTGTTTGTGCATTTGCTGGTACAGCAGTTCCATGTTGCCGGCCCAGCCAAGTCCGGTTTCGGCTTCCTCTGAACCTGATTCTGCTTCTTGAGTGTGTCCCTTATGGGTGCGAGGAGTTGAAATCTGCAGTTTGTTGGGTTAGGCTGCAAAAGCGCAGGTGGTTCCTTTTGTGCCACTGGCACAGCTTGGGCGGTGATGCAAATTGAATAGGGCGTGGTCTCAGAGAATCACCAGGGCAGAGCAAACAGCAATGGTGTCTCCGCAACTCCTCGCCTCTCTGCTACTCCGTGTCTCCGTGTCTCCGGGTCCCCGAGTGCCGGCGAGCAGCTCCACGAGAAAGCCGCCCTCACTTTCCAACCCACTGCAAGGTTGTCCCGCCTCTCCCCGTAGGGGTCTGGGACCTCAGAATCCCACCCCAAACAAGCTCAGTGGATTCAAGAGTTTGTAACCCCTTTTGATTGCAAAAAACCTCGCAACCAGTTGCAGCCTGCCTGGCGCGTGACTCGGTACCTCTGTTCTTGGCGCCTCTGCATATCCTACTCAGTCTCAATGCTCTTCTTTCTTTCCGTCCAGTTGTAGAACTTCCACTGGGCCAGCTTTCCCATGGTTCTGAATGATAGCTGCTTTGTCTTATAGTTGGTATTTTCAATGTTGTTGTGGGAGGCAGCACGCACAGGTCTGTACCTTACTCCGCTATCTTCATTCTCCTGCTTTGCCTTTTATATAAATAGATTGTTTTTGTTGTTAACCCTCACCTGAAGATGTATTTTTTTTCATTGATTTATTTTTTCAGAGAAAGTGAAAGGGAAGACAGGAGGAAGGGAGAGAAAGAGAGAGAGAAACACCTAATGATTGCCTCCCACATGCGCCCCAACAGACCAGGATGGGGATTGAAACTGTAACCCAAGTATATACCTTTGACGGGGATTGAGCCTAAGACCCTTTGGTGAATGGTTGGACACTCTAACCACTGAATAACACCAGCCAGGACGAGGGCCATTTTTTTAAGAGCCACTTCAGCTTTCATCTGAATTAACATTTATACATAAAATTCCTTTCTCAAGTTTCCTTTTCCACAAACCTTTTACAAATTCCCTTGTCTTTCTTAGTTTGTCTCTTTTTTTATCATTTAGAAATAACCAAGTTATTAGGGCAAACTACTTCCTTTTAACTTTTTTTCAAACACACACATCCTTTTCCTTCCTTCTGCAATAACATTTCTTCCTGATTTTAAAAGAGCAATTATAAAAAGAGTATTACTGAAAATGCAAAAGATATACACTCTCAATAATTATTAACAGTTGAGCTATTTAGAAAGAGGGTTTGATAAAAGCCCAAAGAACAAGTGTAACTATTATTATGACTAATATTATTAGTAGACAGGTAAAGACAATCAAACAAATGGTTTTTAAGTTCAGCACAATTTGTAAGTACACAGGCCTTGTCAATGCCTTGAAATAGATGTCTATTTCTGATGTCAGTGGCTTCTCTTTCTTGAGTTTTTTATATCCACTGTAGGTGGAGGTGACTGTCAGAGATAGGGGCAGATGTCCATTCATAGTTAGGCACCTTTTTTATGAGAAATGTGAATCCTTGAGTTAACACCTTTAAGGTTAGTTGCACATGGATTAGTTAGTAAGACCAGATAAGATTCCTTCCAACAGAGTTGGATTGAGTCTTTAATTGATGTCTTTTCCAATGGACTAAATCTGATTGTAAGTCATGGTCTTTGAAGTCTTCATCACCCAGAAGCCCACTGTGAAATTAATCAGTTACTAATTTATCAATTTCTTTAAAGTGGTTAATAAGTTTATGCAGAATTCTCTTTTTAATAAGGCTGGTTCATATGTCCCTTCATCCAGTTGCATAGAATGGCCAGTGACAATTTAATGAGGAAAAAGGCTATGTTTACCAAAAGAAGTAGATCTCATTTGAGGAGCACTATAGACAGAACTTTCAGCCAAAGGAAATTAAAAACTTTTGAAGATTTACCTAGTTGAGTTTTAATTGTACTATTTGTACATTCCACCAATCTAGAGGACTAGGGTGCTGAGCACAATGAATATGCTGTAGAAAAGGCCAAATATTACAAATGGATTGTGTAATTTGATCAATGAAATGAGTCCCCCAGTCACTATGTACTCAGAGGGAATACTTCAACTGGAAATTTTTTAAATAATAACTTACCTACCATTAAGGCTATTGTTCTCCTGCAAGGTAATGCCTCAACCCAATGATAAAATGTACATATCATAATTAACACATATGTGTATCTTAGAGTTGGCAACATTTGGATAAAATCCAATTACCATACCTCAAATGCACCAAAAGAAAGTGGGAAATGTCTTTGGGACCCAGGAAGTGGTTATTATGGGTTATATTTTGGACAGATAGAACATCTGTTGTATACTTTATGAGCTACAGTTGGAGAAGGTTTCCAGTAATATTGTTTACTCCATGAAATCATCTTTTCAGGACCCCAATATGTTAGCTCATGTACATGTTGATGTATAGGTAATTGAGCCTCTATAGATAAGATTGGTTTCTGATTGGGTCCAAACCATATCCATTTGTCTGAGTCAAAGTTTCCCCCTTTTGTTGCCAAAAGTTTCTCCTTTTCTTCTTCAGTAGCAATCTATTGGAACTCTAAAAAAGCGTCTTTTATTGATTTAATAGGAAGCAAGAAATATTCACAGATCTGGGTAATTTGGCTGTTTAATGCTGCCTGTCCAACTGCCATATTATTTCCTTTTGCTTTCATGGTGGCAGCTTTAGAATGTCCTGGATTTTTAGTAATTGCCACTTGTTTGGGTTCTTGTATGACATCTAATAATTCTGTAGCCTATTTTCCATTCTTTATGGGCTTCCCTCAGGAAGTTAAGAAGCCTCACTGTTTCCACAATGTTCCAAAATCATGAGCTACACCAAAGGCATAGCAACTATCAATGAAAATATTGGCTATTTCATCTTTGGCCAACTTACAAGCTCAAGTTAGAGCAATTAATTCAGCTTGTTGAGCAGAACTTGTTTAATTCAGAACTTTCAACTATATCCATCATGGAAGTTATTGAATATCCAGCTCAGTAATGTCCCTGTTAATCTTTCAGATAAGATCCAACTATAAACCAAATTAAGTCAGCATGGTCAAAAGAAGTTTCCTGTAAATTATTCCTAGGAAGGTGGTCAGTATGCAAAACGCAATCATAGTTGTCTTTATTCTGGGTTAATTCTGTTACATCAAGTTAAAGTGATATTAGACACAGAAAGCAAGATTATTCCATAAAAAGCCAGTTGACTGACAGAAGTGTTGAATGTGATGGGTGTTTAATGAAAATTCAACAGAATGAGGAATATAAATAAAGGAGATCTCATAACTATTTCTTCTGTGTGTTTGCATAACATGGCTGTCATGCAGGGAGCCCTTTGACTACTGAGTTCAATTGCTGACTATAATATCCTATAGCTCTATGAAAATTCTAAAGCCTTTCCTTTATTTTTATGTATAAAAAGGAAGAACATTTATAATTAAGATGTCCCAGAGGGGGAGTTTTAGATTGTAATTCTAGAGCTTCTTCAGCTTATTTCTCTTTAGGGTTCTATTGAATTGAAACAGGTTTAATAAATCATATAGAGGCTGGGCCATTTATTAAAACTCAGAACTCAACTGTGACAGCATCCAGTCAGACCCAGGAACCCAATAAGCTGTTTGTTTGTTTGTTTGTTTGTTTGTTTGTTTGTTTGTTTGTTTGTTTTTAGAAGAGGAAAGAAAAGGATTCCTCTGAGTCAAGGTTGGTTAGTAGCCCATCTTTAGATATTACATAAGCAAGGTATTTTACTTTGGGTAAACAGTATCAAACCTTGTCCTTTGAGACTCTATGTCCTTTTAAGGCTAGCATTATAATAGGTAAATTGTGTCTTCTTGGGAGTCCAATATTTCCTAGAGTATAAAAGTAAATCATCCACATATTGTATTAGAGTGGAATTTGTGGGTAATTCAACATCATTCAAATCAGTCTTTAGTGTCTGAGAGACATAGGTGGGATTCTTTATATGTCCTTGGAGCATTAGTGTCCAAGTAAACTTGTAATCTTCCCAGATGAAGGCAAAGAGGTTTTTACTATTTTTTCATACAAAAAAAAATGCTTAAAAGGCACTGAAAAATATTTGCAGGACACAGGAATAGCTGGTAATAGGGTATGTGAATTTGGATCATGGGCTGCCTGGAAATAACTATTTTATATATAGCTATCAGATCCCAATCGGTTTCTATACTGGAAGGATGGAGAATTACAGGGGCTCATACATGGAATTATAAGCCCCCTCTTTTAAGTAATCTTGTATAATGGGCTTAATTTCATCTAGTGCATCAGGACTTAAAAGATATTGGTAACTATTAGGTAGAGGCAAAGTATTATCAATAGTTATTTTAATAGGAGTGGCTGATTTAATCTTGCCAATATCTGTACTAAAAAGACCCAAAGTTACAATGGAACGTCCTATAACAAACATTCAGTCAGTCTCAAGATTAGTTTCCTCTTGTGGAGAATTTTTTAAATTATTATTTTCCCAATGTTCAGTATCTGATTCATTTAGTCCTAAATACATTTCACCCTTCTGGGGGAAAGATACATGGGTGTCATTGATCTCAAGAAAGTCTCTCCCTATCAAGCAAATTGGAGCAGACTTGACTAATAAAAATATATGTTGCCCATTATGTTCCCCAGATAGAACAGGTTCTAATTAAAAAGCAGCCATTGTTGCCCTAGCTGGTTTTGCTCAGTGGATAGAGCATTGGCCTGCGGACTGAAGGTTCCTGGGTTCGATTCCAGTCAAGGGCACATGCCCAGGTTGCAGGCTCGATCCCCAGTAGGGGGCGTGCAGAAGGCAGCCAATCAATGATTCTCTCTCATCATTGTTTCTATCTCCCTCTCCCTTCCTCTCTGAAATCAATAAAAAATATATTTTAAAAAAAACACAGACTGTCTAATCAGATGTCCTTACCATTTATACAAAAGCTTAGCTCTAGGGAGAGGGCAACTTAATAGGGTAAGATAAGAACAGATAAAGTCGCCCCAGTATCTACAAGGGCCTCAGTAGTTTCCCTTTTAATAGTCATTTTAATTTCTCCTAAAGTATTAGAAAGGAGAAGGGGAAATGCCCTCTCATAGTCACTGGAGCAGTCCTATGCTTACTTCTGTTTCTTTCTTTTTTTTTTTTTTCCTCTTTAATACGTGTGCTTAATTTTTTAAAAATTTATCCATATTGCTGCAAGTATTACAGATATCCCCTTTTTTTCCCCATTGACCCCCTCCACCCAACTTCCACCCCTTGCCCAGGTCTTCATGCACTATTCTGTGTCCATGGGTTATGCATATATGCATATAAGTTCTTTGGTTAACCTCTTCCTGCCTCCCTCTCCTTCCCTCTGAGAATCGTCAGTCTTTTCTTTTGCTAAATCCCATTTCAGTTTTCTACAATGTTTCTTAAGGTGACCTAACATTTTACAGTAAAAATAGACTCCTTTTTCCCCTTGTCGAAGGACCTGGGGAGGTCTGACCTGACTGCTTACGTGCTGGGGCTGTTAAGTTCATGATTTTGGAAGTTTGTCTTTTTCTCTCTTTTGAAGAGATCTAAGTAGTTTAGCAACCAGAATTGACAGTTCATCCTTACATGTTGTCAGGCAGTTTAATATTTGTTGTTTAACCAAAGTTATAAGCTGTTCATCTAGTTCTTTCAAAAATACCAAATTTAGTAAGGGATCATTTTGATGATCCTTAAAACTGTCTGGAGACAGACCCAAGTAGTGTTTGAAAGTTGTTTTATTATTATTATTATTCAAAGAAATCAAGCACTGTCTGGCTCATCAGGTTCTCTTTTACTTGCTGGATCTTGTTCCAGTCGATTTTTAGGGCGGGGGGGGGGGGAGGGGAGGAAATCTCAGGTATGGCTTGGTAAAGTCAGTGGGCTGCTTCCCTGCATTTTTCTGCAGTCTGTCTTTTTTTTCTTTTTTTTTTTAAGTCCTTTATAACAGTTTCCCAGTGAACCTTATTTCAGCATCTTGTTGCTTTGCTCTTAGAAAATAGTAGGTATATTAATTGAAATAGGTCAGAACAGCCCAGATCAAATGTTCTAATAATTAAGTCACATTCCTTTGAAAACCCTCTGGAGAGGGTCAAGGAAAATCTTTAGGTAGATTCCTGAATTCTGTTCTAGCCCAAGGAACAAATACAATAGGTGGTTCCTCTCTGCCTGAGACCAGCTTTTCTCTAAAGGGAGCTGCGAGAATTTCTTTTTTTCTTTTCCTTCCTGGTCTATTGTGGTCTGGTTTTTTATTCTGAGTGTCCCCTAGGTCAGTAAGGAACTGCAGTGGTGGAGGTGTAGAA